ACTCATATCATTGTGGGAAAATTCTACTACCAGTCCTTCATCACCTTACACGAAATAGGGTGAATACATTCGAGGATTGGCCTCACCAGAAACCTAAATTCAATTGCCTCGGATTGGATCGTACCAAATGGTCCCCAACGCATCGTTTTGCCATCTCGAAACCTCGATGCTAACCTATCGTCTGTTCCACTATGCAAGGCGGAAAACATGTATTTACGAAGAAGACACCGAAATTCAGAAACGAGCAATGCATCTGGCCGCCAGCCTATTCAGTTCAGATACCTACTTTCACTATCTTAATTGAAGTCTGCCACATGCAAATATAGGCTCAGCAACCAGGCCCAGGGGCAAGATCTTCTCGGCAATATCCGTCAATTTCCATCTTCGGTCTCCGGTAAGACCAATTCTCGCCTCCCTTTTAACCGAATTTTGCCGAGATATAAAAGGTCGAATCATGTTAAATCATTAAAGAATTCTTCAAAGGTCAGCTTTTCATCAAATATACCTAAAGACGGGAGATGAATGAGCCCAAAAAACGCTACAGAAACCAAACTCCCGGTCGCAACCATGATACGAGCTTGAGCCGTCAACCGAGAAATATCTGTTAAACATACCTCGCGATGTAGACGGCCAAAATTCCCATATCGGTGGGAGATGAGGTGGCCGAGGTCACGCGTTTCTGGCTGCTTGGCGGTCAGGCGTCTGAACCGGGCATTTCACATTCGTGTGTGTCAGTAGTCCTGCCTGAGGCACACCAACAGGGAAATGAGAAGACTCAGGAGAGAAATGAACGCTCGCACATTCCTTTCCGTCACCTCCTCCTTCACCTCGTCGTTGCCATACTCCAACTAATTAATCTTCTCCTAATCATCATGTTCGTTCTCCTATCCAGCTCATAATTCCAATCCTCATCCTCCTCTTCTTTATCTTCACTTTTCTCTCCACCTTATCCGCGTACTCGTTCTATTTTACTCCTCATTCTCCTCACCCTCCTCTGCTTCATTCATCTCTTCCTCATCATCGTGTCTTTTATCTATCAAAAACACATACTTCTCTTCCCTCTACTTCTCCTACTCCTGCCCCTCCCCTTCCTCCTTTATCTCCAACTCAGCATCATTATCGTCATGTTCTTCAAACTTATACTTTCATTTCTTCTCACTCTCCTCCTCCTTCTCGTCCATTCTCTCTTCCTCTTGCTCCTCCTCTTCCTCAATTATCTCCTCCTCAGCCTCATTCTCGTTAGCTTTTTCAAACTTATACTTCCATTTATCCTACCCTTCCTCTTCCTCCTGCATCTTCTCCTCAGCATCATTCTCATTCTCTTCTTCAAACTTAAACTTCCATTTATCCTCCCCCTCCTCTTCCTTTTAGTCCTCCCTCTTCTCCTCTTGCCTCTCTTCTTCCTCCTTCATCTTCTCCTCAGCAGCATTCACGTTCTTTTCTTCAAACTTATACTTCTATTTATCCTCCCCCTCCTCTTCCTTTTAGTCCTCCCTCTTCTCCTCTTGCCTCTCTTCTTCCTCCTTCATCTTCTCAGCATCATTCACGTTCTTTTCTTCAAACTTATACTTCCATTTATCCTCCTCTTCCTCTTCTTTTTCGTCCTCCCTCTTCTCCTCTTCCTCCTTCATCTTCTCCTAAGCATCATTCTCGTTCTCTTCTTCAAACTTATACTTCCATTTCTTCTCCTAATCCTCCACGTTTTACTCATCGTCTTCCTCTACCTCATCCACTTCCTCCACATATTTTATTTCCTCGCTCTCTCTCTTCAACCTTCTCCTCGCCTTCCTTCACTTCCTCTTTCACTGTCTTCATATTCTACTTTTCATCGTCTTCTTTCTTCCACCGCCTTCTCAAGCCTGTTCACATCATCCATCACTTACTTTCCTAACTTCTCCTCCTTTTTCCCTTCTCCCTGCTTCTTCGTTAGAGACCTTTTCTTTTAGATTCCTCTTCCTTTTCCCCTACCCCTTCCTAGTTAACATCTTCCTTCTCCTTATTCTACACGTTTCCTTCTCCTCCTTCAACTCCATCTCCTTCTCCCGCTTTACCTTTCTCTTCTCTTCCTACTTTCTTCCCACTGCGATCCACTCAATTTCCTTCTTCTCGTCCCTCTCGTCCTCCTCCTCTTTCTCTTCTCCTCCTCTGCCCCCCAAAGTGTGAGGTGACTTTGTACCTTTACCCCATCGAGGCGATGGTTAGCAAGCGGCTGCTTCACTTATCCCAACGAAACTGTACAGCTCCATTCCTCCCAACTCCGAAGTCTCCCTCTGCTGGCGACCTGCTCTCTCGTCTGGGCTGGCTCTGGACGTCGGAGGCGAATGACCAGAACCGGACGACAACTCGATGGTGCGATAACACACCAACAGGAGGGAGGCGAGCCCGAGGACAAAGCTACGCGATAAGGGCACTTGTCCTGGCAAATTCGTCCAGGCCGTGGTACCATACTCCCAGAGACGGCATGAGAAATCCCACCAGATGGTCGAGTCTTGAGGCGAATGCAGCCAGTGACACGAGCCAATCGTGTGAGTCTGTCACCACCCGTACAGTTGCCTAGTCGACGGATAACTTGGCGTGAAATCAATAGATGGACACAGTTTCCAACTCTAAAACAAAACCAAAATGGCCTCTGCCGAACGGGCCTAGTTCATCGTTCTTCCTTTTGCCTTGCCCTTAAATGATAGCAAAACGGATGCTGCTGCCGGTTAATCAGCCGGTTCGGTTCATTTCAGCTCGAAACGGACAGTACTTCTGATGTACCTCAAAGCTGGTCAGACGAAGAGGCGGCTGGATGTGAATAGATCGGAACCTCAGACGCTCTATTGAAGCATACTTTTATGCACAAAACATCATTTTCCGTTCCGAGGCGACCCTTCAAAGAGGCCACTTTACATAAATGAACGCATCAGCCGTCTGCATACATGCTAAAAAGCTTCAAATGGCCAACCAAATCGTGTGGGCAAGCTTAAACAATAAGGGGTAGGTCGGATTGCGCTTGTAGATCTTTTCCTACAGCACACTTCATATATGGAAGTAGATTAGTTTTTGGTACATTTTTTCCGTTTCTAAGTAGGTCCCCGATAGCGCCAGTGGATCATTTATACGAGATGTATTCACCCTATTTCCTTGAGGTGATGAAGGATTGGTAGCTGAATTTTCCAAGTAGACATTAAGTTTCCAGAGAATTTCATAGTCCCTGAAGCAGCGGGACTCGAAAACTATTGTAGCAATTTCAACACATTAGCCACTACACCAGACTTTCAAGGAAATCCAGGCTCTTTCCTTTATCACTTTTCGTGGTGGGATTGCAGATGAAGCAACTTTATAATTGCCATAGTAATTGACCACTCTACTAACTTTTTGTTTATAAGTAGGCCTTCGATGATACCGGTTCTTCGTCAACTTAACGAGATAAGGTGAATGCAAATTATATATTCGATACATTATCTTGAACTTAAATGATAGGCGAAGTCCATGCAGGTGATCAAGATGAGGTAGGAATGGATAATTGAATTCCTCGCAAGATAATACTCAAGTTCCAGCAGCCCCACCTCCTAAACATCATTCTCCTATAGGCTAAGCGTCAATTTCAACCCCAAAATCTGTATCCATGGCTGTTTGTAGAGCATGACTCTTGTTCAGCTCCCATTTGGTAAATGAAACAAGAGTAAACATATAATTTAATAAGGAGAGTAACATTTTTTGGGAGACGAGGTTACCTGAAATCTACTATTTGTTTAACTCATCCAAGTCTAGAGTGAAAGTGTGTAATGAAGAGGTTTGAAATTCAGTCTCACCAGAAGACAATGATTAACGTAACAGTTTACGGTACTCCCGATATTTCATGTATTGCCCAATCTGTTGATTTGTGATTCGTGTAAGACTATTCAATATCATATCTAAATTTCTGTAAAGTGTTATCCTAACAACCTTAACAGTCACTTATGTATTTAACCTCCCTTTGT